CCCAAACACCCACCCCGACAACAACTATATTATAGACTATAGTTTATAATTCTGTTCGTGTAACATTGGAATTATACTGTACAACAATTACTTGATCGGTGTTTAAAATACAATATGATACACTAATACGGGAAAAGGGAAACTCTCCATCTGTGAAAAATTTACGAAAACTGTTTTAAAAAAGATTATTGAAATTCACAGTAAACACTATCAATAAATTGTAACCTGTCATAGCAAGTCAATACTATTTTACCAAATTTTTAATTAATGCTTACCAAAAAAATTACATGTAATTATTTAATAAGTGATATGATTGAGTAAATATTTTTCGCGACTTAAATCCATATTTTAGTCATGTGTATTACCACTCTACACTCCATTTATATGACACATAATTCGATTGCATAACATTTCGAAATATCTAGCATTATTCTATTTTTATGCAACTTTCACATCATTCAAATACTTTGATTCTTTAAATTATTTAATTTAAATCATATATATGACGTTTTTCTATCAATTTAATTTTCTAACCATTATTTCAATATTTATCTTATGCTATTGCTAGCATAATATATAAGTCAAATTAACATCTTAGTCATGAGCTGGTAAATTATCTTCCCTATACAAAAATATTAGGAAATTCTCCACGTTAAATTCTCTGATTACAAAGTTTCAAATTAACATACTTATTTTATTTTTCATAAGCGGAATATTTAAGAACGCCACATTCTTCTTCGGTTAATCTCATAGTCTCTGCCTTTGCGACTTCCGATAATTAAAAAACAAAAACAGAAGTTATGTGATAAGCGGTTATATTATCTCAAATAGTCAGAATTTTTTGCGTTTAAATTTTTTCCTGGGTGGAATATTGTTCTTTTATTTGCCTGTGTATTTCTTGAAATAAAATGACAGGTTATAAGAAAAATGAACATTATGTCAGTTTTAAATTTTCTAAGACTAAAGACCAAAATAGAAGGAAAACCAAAAGCAGAAAAATCTTTGAAGTTAAATATTTTCCANATATATATATATATATCATTGTTTACCCAGAAATTCGAGTAACAATTAAACTTATTTAGTGGTTTTAAGGATGCGTGATTTAGTCCAAAACCAATTGATAAACAAAGAATTGAATAGATAATCTGAATAATAAAATAAATCAAATCAGTGTTCTAGCAGAGCTTTCGACCTCGATTCGAGATAGTCTCGAGGTTGGATAAGGAGAACAGTAAAGAACAAAAAAATAAACAATGATGGACAGTAGTAGATAGTAAGTGAAATAGAGAGCAACATTTTTGTATATCTTTATTAGT